ATGTGAAGAGACAATAGAGTAAGAAGAGAAGGAATACTTTGTTCTTGTTTTTTAAATTTTTGCATATACAAGAATAGGCAAAACAATGTTGCTGTGGCAAAGTATACTGTTTAATTATGATTTGGCTCTGGCACTTATTAGCTGGGGGGATTTTGGGGAAATAAACTTTTGTGCCTCAGAGATCTCATTTGCAAACTGATATATAAATCGCAGAGTTGCAAACAGAAGGTTTAAATGAGATAGGGTTGTAAGGCTCCTAATGCAGTGTCTGGCTCACAGTGGGTACTCAACATGGTAGAGACTGGGATTATGATTACTATTTTACCCTTGGCCTATGGAATAATCCTTTTGGACTTCTCAGGGTTGAGCTAGAAAAAAAGCAGGAGGAACAGCAGTGACCTGAAATTTCCTCGAAGCCCTCTTCGTCTCACAGAAATCTGCTGTCTGCTTTTGATCACAGTCCAGCCAAGCTGCAGAGGATCTTTTAACAGAAGATAATTGTTACCATTCAGGGGAATTTCACAGAGGAGTGCCCATTCTCTCAGATGGCGTGTAATCTCACCCATCTCTGTCAGTACTAAAGAAAACCAAATAAAACAGCTTCCAAGTAGTTGACTTTGGCAGACTAAAGGATGGCTCTATTTCTCAGGTTCCTCATGCAGAAAATGAGTTAAACGTTTCATGTACTTTAAAACCCCTCCCAACTGGAACTCTCTATGTGCATATGAAAAGGAAAGGGATTGTGGAATCAAACTGAAACAAGAGAGGGTAGCAAAGGGATAGAGAAAGACAAAGGAATGAAGTAAAAATCGTGATGACATACAGCAGATCTTCCATGGACGTGCACCCGGGGTCCACAAACATACAGGCATGGGAGGTATTATAAAGGCATCACAAAGAGAGGTTAACATCTCTGCTCAGCAGTCTGTTCTCTTCTTATTCTATTATTCTCTTATTTGCAGGCTTCAATTTATAAGGAAATTGAATTTATTGATTTATTCAATAAATGACATAACCCATTTGTCTAGGAAGTTATTGATATCCATAATCATGGCAGAATGGTCTATTCCCTCTTCTGTGCCCCCACAGCATTTTGTTGAGTAATAGGAAAAGTCCCTTTTCAGTCCTCCAATTCCATGCAACAAAATATGTCTGCTTGAACAAAAAATGTGGGCATCTGAAAGCCCCATCTGACAGTTGAACTGGGCCTGGGTGGCCCCTCCCTGATTGGCAGGGGCAGGTATCAGCATGGCTTCGAGATCAGCACGTGGCCATTCAGGAGATTTAGATCCATTCTATTCATGGCTACCCCAGGGCAGTCAGGGATGAGGACTAGGGTGCACTTGCACCACTCTCTTTGGTGTCTGCCCTTTGAGGCAGGCTGTGCTCCTGCACAGATGATGCAGGAAAACATGATGACTGGGTCCACTCATTAGAGAGGAGTCAACTCTACTGATTATAGAGCAATGGTTACCAGCCAGAGGGTCTCAACATCTGGAGGCATGAGAGGTATTACAGAGCATGCATATGGGCACTGAGTATTTCCCCAGGATAAATAAATATCTAAGTGTATGTATTATTGTTGCAGTGGATGTAGATAATCATGTGTTGAATAAAATGCACAGTCATTTAAAATCTTTACCTAAATCACAACTACATAATTTTAAAAATATAAATGGATAGAGAGTATAAAAGTAAAATTATGAACATGTGAGAATCCAAGATGGATGGATGTATATGTTTGTGTGTCTATAGAGTTATGTTAATAAGTTTTTTTGTCATAAAATTTGAGAACCAATGTTCTAAAATTTGTCATATGTGAAATTGAGAGCATCCTATAAACATCAAGCAAAATGCCTAAAATGGTACATATGCCTACAAGATAGTGAGGTAAAAGAGACTGAATGAAAGAATGTTCATAACGTGTTAAGTACACTGCCTGGCACATAGTAAGCGCTTGATGAATTTCAGTTATTACCATTATCAGTACTAGTTATGGGTAATTAAAGTATTGGGAAAAGTGTGTACTTGCATGTGTTTATATAAACTGGCTAATAAGTAGAAGTAGTGCCCAGCCCAAAATAGAGTAGAGTGGGTTATTCCTTCTTCTTGCTCTCAAAACACTTTGTTCATACCTTGCTGTACCACATCACATTCTGTTGCAATCACTTATTTATAAAGCTCTCTTTCCCATTAGACCACATGCTCTTTGATAGAAGGGATTACATCCTACGATCTTCTCATCGCCAATACATAGTGCTGTACCTAGCACAAGCATGAGCTGGATACATTTTAATGCACGCAAAAAAAATCTCATAACATGTCCTAGAATTAATATGCAGAGGGAGAGCTTATAGGCATAACGGTTCCTAGGGCTAGTGAATTTATATGTGAAGAGTTATGAGAAAGTGTAGAAAGAAACAATCAAAATTTTGAAATGGTTGGGAAACTGGAAAAATAAAGGATTACTTAATCTCTTAAAATGAAATCTAACATTATATTTATATTAGAAATAACAATATTTGTATTGTGATTTATGTTTTATAGAACTCTTTCCTAAGAATGCTACAACATGAGAGTAATTAATTTATCTTATTTTGTGCATTAGGAAACTAAGTCTTAATAAAAGCTGTTTGATTTGATTAAGGTTGTACAACTAGAAATGGTAGAGTTGTAATTTCAGGTCTTGTAATTTCAAGACCAATGGTCTTCAACAAGACACGGAACATACCAGGCATTATGGAACACTTGTCAGTTATCATAGGAACAGTCATGGCCTGAAGTGAATAGGGCTGAATTTCATCTAGAAAATTCTAAGACAACTTAGATGATCATTATATGAAATGAAATTATGGCAAAGTTTTATTTGGTAGCCTAAAAGAGTATAGATTATATAAGGAGTGTGTGTGTGTGTGTGTGTGTGTGTGTGTGTACTGCGCGTATTTTGTTTTTAATAACCCACTTCTCAGATGTATCATGGGTGTAGAGTATAGAGTGTCACTCTGGGCTTATAAATACGAAGGCACAAATATATTTAAGTGCCTTATTCCTTAAAGTATGGAAATTATACCAACTGGCAAATAAAATAGCAAGAAATGGCTTCAAACAGACTCTAGCTAATGGCCAGTTTATATATATTAAAGCTTGTTCAAAAGAAAGAAGTTTTATTATGCTAGCACTCACCCAAAACTCAGGACTAGAAGAAAATTTAATTATTTATTCCTAGATAATGCAGATAAAATTAAGTGCAATTAAATGCTAACTGTTCTTTAATGGAAATTATAAACATAATTGAACTTCATATTTAACCAAAGGAGAGATGTTGGCTAAACAAAGAGAGCCAGGGTACCAGTTCTCTTAGCCTCTCTCTTTAATTAGGCTCAGTCTTTTACCCCAGAAATTTCCATATACGTCTCCATTTCATGTAGTCTGTAGATTGTATCTTCACAGAACATTTAAGAGTTTTCTGACTGACAAAATAAAGTAGGCTGGCAGTTTAAAAGAAAGTCATGTCTGGCTTCTGACAGGATTTCAGCTTTAGAAGAGTCTCTCTAAGCACTGAATAAATGCCAGGCCTCAAAAAGCCATTCAGCCTTTTTTTCCTGACTGCATTGAGACAAGCCAGGACTGTAGAAGTCTGGTAGGGGGAGGGAAAAGGTCAAACTACACACAAAAGCAGCAAGGTTCACTTTTACCAACATCAGCCAAGGGTGTGCATTGACAAGAAAATGTAATCTAACAGAAATTAACCGCAATGATTCCAGACACTAATCACCAAGGAGTTGGGGTGAGTTGGGTGGGTATTATGTAACAAATGTGGGAACATATGGCCGCAGGAAAAGTTTTGGCTGGTGATTGCATGAAGGAAACTTGAATAAAGTGTAATATGGGGAACAAATTAATCCAAAAACGGTCTAATTCTTAAACCATTTGTTTAAAGAACATTTTAGAAGACATTTAAAAGACTTTAAGAAGTAATAAATTAATTCAAGAAAAATGAGATTGAAACCGAGGATGAAGGAGTTCAAGTTTCCCTGGATTAGGATGAAAACTGTGCCTGTACCCACAAGGTTAACGTGGGAAACAAAGTAACCCAAATTTCTGAGCTTGCCTTGCAGAACAGCCAGAGGACCCCTGGTAAGAGAGTAACTTGCTGACAGCCCTCCGCCTGACCAAGCATAATGCAGGAGCATTGAGAAGCTAAAATGACCGACTGTAAGCTTCACATGTCATAAGAAATATGAAAGACAGTCACCCCTGCGCAGCCCCCAAGGCCACATGCTCTCCTCCCCATCTTATTCTCACAAGGTGCTTTGGAAAAACACTTAGAACTGCATGTAGGCAAACTAATGTGTAACCGGTAGAAAGAATAACTTGTTAGCAGAAAATTTATTCCTCCACCCAAACTGTTCCTTCTGTCCCAGATAAAGAAGTAACTGAGGTTTTCTTAGCTTCCTCAGGAGTGTTGTGTTCAGCAGATCCGCTACAGAGAGGAGCCCAACATTCTGCAGTCATCCATCACCTGACATTTCTGAGCCCCCTCCGCAACCCCGTTTGCCTTATATAAGTCATTTCCAAATCAGTTCCCTTTGAGATGGGTTTCTTTAGGATGATAGTCCACCATCTTCCAATATAGTCGATTATCGCTTATTAAAGTTCTTTCTCTACCACCACCTGCTTGGCCTTTTATCTTGCGGTGAGCAGATAGAGCCCTTGCTCAGTATCAAGATGAGCAATATTGGTTCTAAAGGATAGAATTATAATAAGAAAAAGAACATGTTGATAATTCTATGCATATTCATAGTTCATTTACTTGAGAAAAATATAGCTTCCTTTAATTTTTGGGTTCCCTCTCCCATCAGCATACCTGAGAATATTTAACCATTAGTCTAGAAAGTTCTCTCTACAGAAAGTCCAAATATTGAATTTAAAACTTCCTCTTTAAGGTATCCTGTCATAAAACCCAACAGCAACACAAACAAGTGAGCAATAGCTCTTACCATCTCCTGGGTCAACGATCTCCACTGTAGTCACTGCAGGGAATTCCAGGGCAGCCAGCACAGGCTCTGAGAGAACCACCTGGAAGGTCTCAGACTGCTCATGCTCCCCGTCACTCATGATCCGTACTCTCCATGTGGCCCTGGTCTGGCCTGGGTTGAACTGTACTTGTTTCTGTGCTTTGCCCTTGAAGTCTTTGTCTTTTTCTGCAGTCCCATCTCTTGTGCCAATACCTTCACAGAAACATAATATCATTTTCTTAGTTTCATTTTCAATTGGAATACTAAGGTTCTCCTCGTTAACTTTTTGTGTCACTTTATCCTGCAGTGCAAAATAGATCCTGCTTTGATTCCATGAAATGGATAATCGGGTATGGGTCCTACAATGAAAGTGTTCTAGTGTAGGTGTTGAGTGGTTCATGATTCAGCTCTACTCTTGCCCCATTATGGTTTTGCTATATATTCTTTGAGCTAAGTTTGTGTTAGAACCTCTTGTAAAACAAGGCCAAGTAAATTGATATTCATATTGTACAGTATTCTTACTGTTCTTACAAGTTCATACAATCCAAAAATTTACCTTTGTATTTGTTATATTATATGTGTCGTATCATAAAAAAAATTCTCTAACTAGAAAATATAAGCGAATAAGAGACTTTGTAAGTCAAAGAATTCTTTGATAATCTAAGTCATAAATGGCTAAGCACAATAATAAAAAATTATAACATTCTCTAAACATTTAATGGAACTAGGACCCTTAAAAGAATCTAACTCAGTGTCTGTCAATATGACTACTGCCAAGTTTTTCTTTGTAGAACACTCTAGAATTCCATGAAACCATGTGAACAGAATTGGAGAGCTTATATATGGTTATTATGAGCAGTATGTTTGGCTTACTCTGTTGGTTCACTTAAGGTCAATTTCAGTTAGCTGGAAAGGTTGAAGGATCTCTGAGTCTCTTAACTACATTACAAGAGGATCGTCACCATTACTATGCCACATACACAAATCACAGAATATATTATCTATAAAGCAGTAACAGTCAACGAAGTCAACATCAAAGAAAAATTATAAAATTACAGTAGTACTCGCATAAGTACATCCTTAAGTACTAAATCAGGACCTCTTAGTGAATCAAGTTAATAGAATATTTTCAAATATATTTCTTTAAACATTGGCATTTTCAGAGAAGTTGGTAGGAAAGACAGATTTAAAAAGGGAAAAATAAAATCTTTTGACTATTAGAATTAAAAAGTCTGAAAATAAATTCTTATAGTTCTCATTTAATTGAAAAAAATTATCTTAGTTTTAGAAAATTTCTTTTGTTCTTCAAACTAGAAACGAAACTGGACCAAATAAGATCCATTTAGCCACAAATATTCATTAAGTGCCTACTATGTGTCCTGCTCTAAGTGCTAGGGCTGTAGCAGAAAACAAAACAGACCCCAAGCCCCTGCCACTGTGGTGCTTATGCGAGATTAGTTTGAACACTTATTTCTTCATCAGAATAGATCACTGTTAGTTTCATCTTAAAATGAAGAAGAAAATTAATATTTCACTAAAATATGTGTCTTATAGATCTCAGAAAAAGAACGGAGATATAAATATTGCATTTTTTTTCAACAGCAGGTAAAACATAATTTATTTAATGGCAAGAGAAAAATGGGCACAGAACCAGGAATTCAAGCACTACATATCTTGTTGAATGCTGCTGACTTCCTGTTAGCTCTCTGGCTCCTAATGCACACAGAGTGGCTGTCAACACCTCTAGGATCCACCACAATTCATGGCCAAGGTGATGATGAAAGGGATCATTCTCACTGAGGTTCCAGCACACCAGCTGCTCATTGGCCCATCCACCCCCAGGGGCATGACCAGCCAAAGAATATGTTAGTTGCTTTCTGACAGCTACTGCCCACTTTTCTGTTTTGTTTCATCAACAATGCATTATTTTCCTGGAGATTCAAAACAGTTAAAAACAAAAAGGAATCAGTATAAAAACAAGGAATGGCCACTAGTTCCAACTAGTCATCCTTACTAAACGATAGTCAAGTCATCCAACCTGATAAAAAATAAGTTTTAATATCAAATCCCAATCATTGCTGCAAAACCCCCATAATTTTTCTGGTGGATTTTATAAGAGATTCTCAATCAGATGTAAACTATAAACAGACAATATCTTTGATTCACCAAGCAAAGAGGAATGGACTTGTATTTTATAAAAAAGATTGTTGTCTTAAACTGTTTGACATGCTTCTTCTCAAACATGAACTAAAACTAAGAAGCAGGTAAAACAAGACTAAGATGGAATACTAAGTTTGCTTTGGGTCAAAAATAAAGATTCCCTTTTATAATTAACACATGGTACCTACTCTGAGGGCAGTGCTCCTTTGTTACTTAAAGTGTGGTCCACGGACCAGCAGCATGAGCAACATTCAGGAGCTTGTCAGAAAAGCAGAATTTCAGGCTCCACCCACCCCAGACCCACTGAATCAGAATCAACACTTTAGCAAGATCCCCAGGTAAACCTTATATCATTAAAATCTGAGGCTGGGTAGACACACACTGCATTCTTCATACCTCCACAAGGTCCTTTTACACAGGTGTCCCATTTTCATAAAGGATGAAGAAACATGCATAGATTCTGGAGGAGACAGATTAATCCACACTCTAATCTAGTGTGGTAGATGAGACAATCAAGCACACTCAATGTTCAGAAAATGCACTTCCTTGGAGATACAAATATTCAGCTGGTAAACCATACATATTATAAATAATATTAGATGGGTCAAAAAGAATTCTGGAACTCAAAAAGCTTACAAATTGGGCTTAAATTTATGCTTTTCAAGGAGAATTAATTATGAAAAAAGACATATTACTTTGATTTACTAAGTGAAACTACAATTGCATCTTTTTTTCCCCTCTGGCACGGAGGTTAAGCAAGGTCCTTTTGTTTATTTATTTATTTTTTTTGTGTGAGGAAGATCAGCCCTGAGCTAACATCCATGCTAATCCTCCTCTTTTTGCTGAGGAAGACCGGCTCTGAGCTAACATCTATTGCCAATCCTCCTTCTTTTTTTTCCCCAAAGCCCCAGTAGATAGTTGTACGTCATAGTTGCACATCCTTCTAGCTGCTGCATGTGGGACGTGGCCCCAGCATGGCCGGAGAAGCCGTGCATCGGTGCGCACCCGGGATCCGAACCCAGGCCGCCAACAGCCTGGCATGCGAGCCCAACCCCCAAGCCACGGGGCCGGCCCAAGCAAGGTCCTTTTCGAATGAGAGAATACATTTCATATTCTAGCTCGGTCACATAGTGGCTATGGGATCATAGGCAAGTTAATAAATCTCTCAGTTGCAAGGGATTCAAGAAACACTATGGAGAGATACTTAAGAGCTTGGGCCCTGGAGCCAAATCTCAGCTCTGCCCCTTACTAGCTCTGTAACGCTGGGCATACGACAACCTTTCTCCTTCTTTAACTGTAAAACGGGGAGTAAAGGACACTCTTCTCACGGGGTTGACTGTGTAAGGTATTGAGAAGTAGGCCTGGGGCCGGCCCCGTGGCTTGGTGGTTAAGTGAGCGCGCTCCGCTGCTGGCGACCCGGGTTCGGATCCCGGGCTCGCACCGACGCGCTGCTTCTCCAGCCATGCTGAGGCCGCGTCCCACATACAGCAACTAGAAGGATGTGCAGCTATGACACACAACTATCTACTGGGGCTTTGGGGGGAAAAATAAATTAATAAAATCTTTAAAAAAAAAAAAAAAAAGAAGTAGGCCTGGCACGTCATAACTCAATAAATGTCAGCTCTCATCATTAGCACTTCATAGTCCACGACCTAACAGTGTTTGGCACATGATAAGCACTCGAGAAAATATTAATTGAGCTAGTGAATAAAAGGTTATTGAAAGGAGTAAGGGAGACAGGTAAAGTATTTAATGTGCTTAATGAAGTATCTTGCATTTAGTAAATGTTCAATAACTGGTAGAAATAAGATCTTGAAATTCAAATAGTTTTGTGAAATGCAAATACATATTTATTTTATTAATAGGTTATAATGGTTATAAAATGAATAATCATCTCTGAGAAAATACATATACAAATTTCATGTAATTTATGATTTACTAATATGCTCATGAGGGAAGTGGTATTCTGCCTTTAGCTATAATGCAAACTATCTAATTCTAAAAGTCTATAAATGAAAGCAGGGGTTGCAAGGGAAGAGTTACGTGAAACGTATTCATTGTAGAATGTCTACCAGGCTACCCTTTACTTTAATCTGACGTCCATTCCTAGTCCTAGCATGAATTCTATTACCATCTTCAATAATTGACGGGTGTGGGCCACACACAGAGGTCTTTCTAACTTTCTATCACTCCAGCTTACTAAGTAACCATATGAAGTTAACCAAGTAGAGCTATAGAGCCTTTGTAGAATTGCTCGTGCTGATCTCCACACTCGTAGGAAATAATAGTTCATTGAAAAAATAACTTCAAGAGAAAACAGAGCTCTTTGGCATTTTAGCATTCAGCTTAAAAAAAAGGCAATGGAGAGAAAAATCTGAAAAGACAGTTTTGTGGTTTTCTTTGTGAGGAAGATTTGCCCTGAGCTAACATCTGTGCCAGTCTTCCCCTATTTTGTATGTGGGTCGCCACCTCAGCACAGCTGATGAGTGGTGTAGGTCCACACCTGAGATCCGAACCTGTGAACCCCGGGCTGCTGAACGGCAGCATGCTGAACTTAACCACTACACCACGGAGCCGGCCCCAAAAAGATAGTTTTCCCGCCTATTTTTCAATTATTAACTTTGCCATTGCTGTCAAGGGCTATTTGTGAGTGACTAATTAAATACATTTATTAGGGGTGGGAATTCAGGTAAAACACAAATAGATGAAAGCATCCTTAAGAATTGCTAAGGCACTCTGGTATTTAGTTATTATTTTCCCTATAACTTTGCCATATTTTCAAGCACAAAGCACAGTTAAAGCTAATCTCTCACTGACAATAAGTAAGACAGGATCAGATTCCTGATTTGCAGAGCACGTGTATGTGTGCAGAGAGAACATGCTCCTGAAAGAGAGAGAGCACCAAGAGCATTCACTGTGCTCTAGACGGTTCAACACAGAGAGTGCAAATGACAGTCTATGAAGAGGCATACGCAAACGCAAATAAAGAAGATGGAAGCTTATTCCTTGCTCATGGATTGGAAGAATAAATATAGTTAAGATGTCCATACTTCCTAAAGCAATCTACAGATTCAATGCAATCCCAATCAGAATCCCAACAACATTTTTCACGGAGATAGAACAAAGAATCCTAAAATTTATATGGAACAACAAAAGACCCCAAATAGCCAAAGCAATCCTGAGAGAAAACAACCAAGTTGAAGGTAACACATTCGCTGGATTCAAAATATACTACAAAGCTATAGTAATCAAAACAGCATGGTACCGGCACAAAAAACAGACACACAGATAAATGGAACAGAATTTAGAGCCCAGAAATAAACCCACACATCTATGGACAGCTAATCTTTGACAAAGGAGCTAAGAACATACAATGGAGAAAGGAAAGTCTCTTCAATAAACGGTATTGGGAAAATTGGAAAGCTACATGCAAAAGAATGAAAGTAGACCATTATCTTACACCATACACAAAAATTAACTCAAAATGGATTAGACCTGAATGTAACACCTGAACCATGAAACTCCTAGAAGAAAACATAGGCAGTACACTCTTTGACATTAGATACTTTGACAAAAGATACTTAGCAGTATCTTTTCAAATACCACCTCTACTCAGGCAAGGGAAATAAAAGAAAAAACAAACAAATGGGACTACATCAGACTAAAGAGCTTGTGCACAGCAAAGGAAACCATCAACAAAAGAAAACGACAACCCATCAACTGGGAGAAAATATTTGCAAATCATGTATCTGACAAGGAGTTCATTTCCAAAATATATAAAGCACTCATATAACTCAATACAAAAAAATGGACAATCTGGTCAAAAAATCGGCAGAGGATATGAACATATTTCCAAAGAAGACATAAAAGACATTTTTCCAAAGAAGATACACAGATAGCCAACAGGCACATAAAAAGACGTTCAATATCACTAATTATTAGGGAAATGCAAATCAAAACTACAATGAGATATCACCTCACACCCATACAGAGATTTCTCAAAAAATTAAAAATAGAAATACCATATGATCCAGCTATTCCACTACTGGATATTTATCTAAAGAACATGAAATCAATAATTCAAAAAGATTTATGCACCCCTATGTTCATCACAGCATTATTCACAATAGCCAAGACATGGAAGCAACCCAAGTGTCCATCAATGGACGAATGGATAAAGAAGATGTGGTGAATATACACATGGAAAATACTACTCAGCCATAAAAAAAGACAAAATCGTGCCATTTGTGACAACATGGGTGGACACTGAGCGTATTATGCTAAGCAAAATAAGCCAGACAGAGAAAGACAAATACCATATGATTTCATTCATATGTGGACGATAAACACACACACACACACATAGATAAGTGGAACAGATTAGTGGTTGCCAGAGGGGAAGGGGGTGGGAGGATAGTGAAAGGGGTGAAGGGGCACATATGTATGGTTACAGATAAAAACTAGACTATTGGTGAACACAATGCAGTCTATATAGAAACATATATAGGGCCGGCCCCGTGGCTTAGCGGTTAAGTGCGTGCGCTCTGCTGCCGGCGGCCCGGGTTCGGGTCCCGGGTGCGCACCGAGGCACCGCTCCTCCGGCCATGCTGAGGCCGCGTCCCACATGCAGCGACTAGAGGGATGTGCAGCTATGACAGGCAGCTATGTACTGGGGCTTTGGGGGAAAAATAAATAAATAAAATCTTTAAAAAAAAAAAAAAAAGTGGAGCCTGAAGATGTGACTGAATTGCTGCAATCTCATGACAAAACTTTGACAGATGAGGAGTTACTTCTTATGGATGAGCAAAGAAAGTGGTTTCTTAAGCTGAATCTACTCTTGGTGAAGATGCTGTGAAGATTGTTGAAATGGCAACAAAGGATTTAGAACATTACAAAAGCTGAGTTCACAGAGCGGCAGCAGGGTTTGAGAGGATTCACTTCAATTTTGAAAGAAGTTCTGCTGTGGGTAAAATGCTATCGAACAGCTCGCATGCTGCAGAG